AGCTCCTTTCGCCATCGACAGCATCCTCAGCACACCCTTCAAACGGAGGGAGGACATCCACGTGGATGCACATACCCACGCCCCCCGGTTCTACTGGTCCCCAGGGGCCCACATACTGCCTTACACTCTGAGCTACCCGGCACAGTACTTGTCAGAGGGGGCGTACAGCAGCACGGAGCCCGGCAGGGATGCACTCACATACCTCCAGCACACACCACCTGAGGCTTCTCTGCACGCGCTCAAGATGCCCAACAAGGCGCGAGATTTCCAAATAGACTCCCTGCTCTCGTAAAGCACGAGGACTGCTGTCAGACTCTATGTGTTGATCCATGATGTGCACTTTGTGGGCGCTCGTAACTTTCAGTGCTTTAGCTGTTTAACTGTTTGAGAGTGTGTCTGTATTGTAAGTCATTCTGCAGTGAGGGAAACAAACATGTTGTTAATATAACGGATTGTGGTGACTGGCTAATAGTTGCTGTCATCGCAGGACATTCCACTGCGTTTATGTGTGTATGTGTGTGTGTCAGAGTTTGTGTGTGTGTTGTTTAAAGAGTGTGTGTCTTCTTGTGTCCATGGTTCTTTGGTCATTTCCACTGTATGACGGCAAACAAGCGCCATGGTGAAACGTACAACTGTTCATCTATTTATATGTTCATGTTTTGTATGAACTGCTGTGTACAATATTGTTGTAGATATATTAAAAAAATGGACTGAGCTGCGATGAGAGTCACGTGGCTGCACTAGAAACGCATGGAAATGCCTGATGTTTTTCCTAATGATTCATGCATGTCTGGTTATTTTTATGAATAAAAATGTGAGACACTGGGACCCTGATGTTCAATGAGTTCTTCATTACAGAGATCAAAGGGAAAGATCAGAGGCACGTGTACAGAGGGAAAGGGGGGGTCACCTGTTCAACAGGAGAAAGTCCTGCGGTGGAGTTCATTGAAAAGGCAGAAAATAACGGGATTATTGGTGTTACAATCTATTGGTAATTACCTCCCGAATCATACTCATCAAAGTCAAAATAAAAAAATCAAACAAAACAATTATATTGTCCTTTACTTTGATTCCAGGACTGTTTTTGGCAAGTGAACAGTTTATTAAAATAAAATTAGAGAATAAAAAGCTAATTATATTAAAATGTTGAAATCAAGGCAGATATCACAGCAAACAAACAGATAAAAACATAATGAAGAGTTAACATAAGAAACTATTGTTATAATTATTATGGTATGTTTTATTGTGGTTAAGCCACAGCCAACAAGACATTAGTGTTGCAGTGAAACGTGTTTACCTAAAGTCTTATATAATAAAATAAATAAAATAATGATTTGTTTTTATAAGGCTCTGTTTATTTAATCTGGCACAAAAAGGGTTCCCATTTAAAAGTGTTTATATATAGTTCAATATAAAAATTACCTAATCAAAAAATAAAGGCAAATAGAGAAAATACTTCTGCCGTTTTTGTCATACTTTCATGTGATTTAATATGGGTTACGCATTGTTTACTAAAACATATTTTAACAATGTCGATGCATGTAATCAGTATATATACGTCGAGATCAATGCATAACAGTATCTCCCATAAAATGACAAAGAGATGCAACGTAAAGCGTGTAAAATGTAAGACAAAAATAAAATACATAAAACGTATTTTCTTTTAAATCATCAAAACATAAATATTATTTTGATTATATTTTTAGCATTTTGTGTTCAGATTTTCATGCACACGCAATATTATGTTTTTGTACGCACACTGTCCTGCAGTTGTTGCTCTCCACGGTCCTGAAACTGACCCCAGACCCACCAGCTGCTCCATGAGACGAGACATTGTTTTTGTTAAATCTCAAAGACATCTGTCCATTAAAAAAAACTATTAAAAACAACCTTTGTGAACTCTATATTTAGAAAAGAGAGCACTTTTTTACTTCAATAATTCCTTATCTTTGTTCTTTTATTGAACTACCTCAGATTTTTCTGGAGTGCACCTAGGCATAATATCATCGAACCAAAAAAGCGTTCCTGAAAAATATTTGTGCTTACTTTATGATATTCATGTAACAATAATAATAATTAAACAAGAATAATATTACATTACATGTCACTTGTTAGACGCTTTTATCCAAAGCGACTTACATACTCAATACTGTGGGCAATCCCCACAGGAGCAATTTGGGGTGAAGTGCATGTCTTGCCCAGGGACACAACGACATGCTGACTGCAGTGGGGTTTGAACCTGTGCTCCCCTGATCCGAACACCAACGCACTAGCTCACTGTGCCACAGGCCTCCACAAAATATACTACAATAAATAAGACAAAATTAAAAGAGTAACCTGCTCTAAGACTGATACAAATGACAACATAGATATTCTTTCAGATGTAATGAAAGCGACATTTCATTATATTCAAAATTAAATATTCCCAATGAATACCGCCTATATTAAATTACATAATTGCAGTATAATGTTTATTTTAATGTTGGAGTTGTGGGTTCCTCTAATGCAGGGGGCAAAATTAATCTGCACATTTCCAAATGTAGATATCCTGTAGGCTTATTTTTTTATCTGAACATTATGTTCTGATAACACTCACTGACACTGCTCAGGCCTGTTCTCTGCGTCTCGGGCCCCTCCTGATGGCTACACGCGTGCATGATGAGGCTTTAACCCGGAAGTTGTGCTCGGCAGGCTGACAGGTGACAGGTGAGAGCTGCTCCTGTTTAAGGGACAATGCTGCAACCTGCAGGTGAAACACCGGAACAGCACACCTGTCTGCAGGAATATCCCAATATTAACTTGGATCATGACGCGCATTCATAAACAGCCTTTATCTGCATTTATATTTGTAACTTGTCTCGAACTTAACACCACGCTGCCTGAGCAGAAACTCAGGCCTGTGGCTGCTTGTATGAAAAAGGCCCACAGTGTTATGAAACCAAGCTTAAAGGCAGGCACAATGTTAGGAAGTCCAAACAGTGTGTCACTCCGGCAGACTGAACCGCGCCTGACCTCACAGTCCCGGAGAGGCAGCTCCAAAGCTCACTGCCTCGCCAAAGGAAGCACAGGAGAAGCCGAAACAATATTAACTAACCATTCAAAAAGAGCTGAACTCGGTGTTTGTTGTTGTTTTGTAAATGATGTGTGTTACAGGCCTGTATAGTATAAAAACGATACAAAGCATGGGGCATTTAAGAAAGGCCTAATTGTTATTATATGAAACTTGTTTTTGTATATTATTTGGGAAAAACGTCTAAATATCAGTATATTTTTCTCTTTTTAATGAGAAATAGAGGATCCCTAGAATTTCATTTATATAATGTAATACATTTAAAGTGTATAATTGTATTCAATTCCCAAAAGTGTTCTAAAACAGGTTACCTGTGGTCAAACTGCCCGTCAAACATTCCTACAAAATCCAATCTATCTAATATTTAATGAGGGATAAACAATATATTTCAGCCTAAACATGAAAACAAACATAAGGCCGTATTGTGTCGGCTTTAGGCCTCTAATCGGGATTCCAAAGGCAAACCTCCTCAAAAACGCCTCTGAATAGCTCTCGTGGAGGCCGATGGTCACTCGATATTTCCAAAAAGCTAAATTAGGAACTCATATAATCTCCGTGCGTAAAAGCAGCGGTCTTCAAAGCGCTCCCAGAACAAAGATTCCCTCTGCGAGCAGAGGCATCCTGATCTCGGCGGGGGTCATAAGTTTTGATGTCGCCGGAAATTTCTGGGGCCGTTAGTGTGTCATAGAGGAAAATGATTTTATCCGAACGTCCTTTGTTGTGCAAAGTGCAAAAGGTTATCATTGGTGCTGCTTATTGTTTGGGAAACTCTCCAGGCTATATCTAAACTTAAAGAGATTGATTCCGCAATCACGTGCACACATATTTAGGACGTAACGTAGGAATGTGGAGCTTTTTTCTCCACTGATGGTAAATGTTTAATATCATGCAAACATTATCATCGTGAGCCTGCAGGACAAAAAAAGACGCAATTAAATGTACCTTAAATTAAACCTACAAAATATAAAGACAAGCATGCACAACCTCAAAAAGCTCTGCGAGAGCCACTTTTTTCTTCCTTCAATGATCTCCGTCGCAGCAGCACGGATGTTGATATTACCTTTATGGGATATATAACTCCATCATGTTGGACAAATCTGTGTGTGATGTCTCCATAGGGGAGGAAACTGTCGACGCCCGCTCGCCTAATTTCGCTTTTCTCTCTCTAATGAACGCGGGGCCCATGGGACAGGCTCTGGCCCGGGGCGGTAAGCTGACACTGGCGCGCTGTGTGTGGTATCCAGGGCCGGGCTTGATGGAAAAAGCCTGCTTCCACTCATGTCAAAGTCATTTACTCAGAGCAACCCCCCGCTTACACACGCACGGTAAAGACCACCACCTCTCCATCTCTCACACTCCTTCGTCCCAGCACGGCACCGCGAGAGTTTGTTTTTGTTATCCTCTGGACTCGTTTGGGAGGAAATTATGAGCAAAATAATACAAATAATACACGAGGGTGCGTTTTTTATTGCTTCGCAGCGATGCGTTTGGGAATCATCGGCCGCAGATAGCGTGTAAAGGCCCCAAGTGAATGTTTTGTCTCATCGTGGTTTCAATTGCAAGCTGGACTTTTTCTGCACATATTGGTGTATTCGTGTCAGGAAAATGTATGATCTGTGGCTGAAATCACAACTTCATACGTGAAGGACCGAGAGAGGGGGGGCATACTCGTTTTTTAACTTGTAGCCTACGTCTGGCGTGTGGCGCTGTTGATTAGGATGTCTGGGGGAGGTTTGATAGATGGCTTAATTGCGTGTAGTCCGAATTTGGAGAGAGAGTGGGTGGGAGGGGGAGGAAAGAAGACGAGAGTAGAGAAAGAGGGGGCTTTAACGCTGCTGAGAACGGTAAGTGGACTTGGGCCAAATTTGGCGAGAGGGTGGAGGGGGGGGTGGTTCTATTCGTCACTGATTTCAGTTAGTTTTGCAGTCGCAGAGTGCGGATAAGAAGAAGGGGGGGCTCTTGAAGAGGGACAAAAGATTTATGAACTGATAGGTGGTCGAGCTTTGTTTGGCTGGACCGTTGCGCGCAATAAATCGAAGGGTTTTCGTGTTTCCTCCACTTGAGGGATTATTCAGGCGCTCGATGGCCACCCGGCGCGCCACACAGCACCACTTAGCGCCGCTGTGACACCCAGTGGAGCTCCGAGCCCTGGACAGCGAGTCTCCAGTGGATAACCAGCTCCCCCCACTCTCCCTTCCTCTTCCTCTCTCTGTCAGTGCGTGCGTTCTGCATGCGTCAAGGGAGCACCGTGCGTAACGGGGGAGAGTCGTGCGTAACTGGAGACAGATTTCACTCCATTTTGCTCTGGGATTCTCAGGACCACTGGCGGTGTAACGCTCTCACGCAGGGACACTGACCGCTGGATTTCGTTATATTTTCCTCTTTTCAAACATCCCTCGCTCTACTATACGCCAGTCGCACGTCAGAGCTGACATGACGACCGAGACCCCTCAGCAGCAGCTGGACCCTCCGCCTCCTCTGAGATCCAGCCCGGCGTCCGGAGTCCTGCACCCGGACATGCTGAGCCCACAAGCCGCCACAGATAGTTCTTCCAGCATTAAAGGAAAGAAGACGACCTCCGGTTTAAGGCGACCGGAGAAGCCGCCGTACTCCTACATCGCTCTCATCGTTATGGCAATACAGAGCTCCCCCACCAAGAGACTGACACTCAGTGAGATCTACCAGTTCCTGCAGGCTCGCTTCCCATTCTTCAGGGGCTCATATCAGGGCTGGAAGAACTCGGTGCGGCATAATCTGTCCCTGAACGAGTGCTTCATCAAGCTGCCCAAAGGGCTGGGCAGGCCGGGGAAGGGCCACTACTGGACCATCGACCCAGGCAGCGAGTTCATGTTCGAGGAGGGCTCGTTTCGACGCAGACCCCGAGGCTTCAGAAGAAAATGTCAGGCTCTGAAGCCCATGTATCGGATGATGAACGGAATTGGCTTCGGAACCTCCATCCTCCCGCAGAGTTTTGACTTTCAAGCTCCGTCCGCCTCTCTCGCCTGTCACAGCAACGGCTACAACTTGGACATGATGAGCAATTCAATGGCCGGGGGGTACGACGGGCTGAGCAGCGGCCACCACGTACCCCACATGTCCCCCAGCCCCGGATCCACGTACATGGCGAGCTGTCCCGTGCCGTCTAACGGAGAGTACGGACAGGACAGCAGCAGCAGCCCCGTGCCTTCCTCTCCGGCCATGGCCAGCGCGCTGGACGGACACTCCCCGTACGCCAATTCCTCCGCACACTGGGCGTCCTCCGGCGGGTCTCCCTACATCAAACAGCAGCCTCTCAGCTCCAACAGCCCCGCATCGTCCGGTTTACACTCCGGCATGTCGCCTTACTCCCTGGAGCAGAGCTACCTTCACCAGAACGGCAGGGACAGCCACAGCAGCGACATATCAGGTACAGCACACTGACTAATAAGGATACGGCAGATAATATGTTTGGGGGTGATCATTAACAAAATAAAATGTCCGGATAATCTGACAACAGAGGCCTGTGAGAAATGTAAATGCTTGCAAGAAGTTAAAACTCATCATTCATAAATAAGTTCCTTTATACATATTAGGCCTACTCATACTTATATAAGGAGTTTGTGTTTATTTAAAAGGAAAAATAATATTTAATTGAAGTTTACATATTCGTGCAATATAAATAAATATGTAATCACTTCCTAATAGTTTGATTTATTTAGTTAAATTGCAATTTCTGCTAAAGTATTTTCGGATGAGTGTTTACTTCCAACATATGTGGCCGACACATTTAACGATTGTTACACTTATTTTATTTACTAATAAAGATGCATTGAACATGTAAAGAATAATGAAAACCAAAAAGGCCATGATTGGTCCATAACAACCTTAGTTCCTAAATGTATTTGAGGCCAATAAATCATTAATATTCTAATGGCAAATGTTGAAGTCTATTTAATCCACAGTGTGTGGGATTCTCTGACTCACATCGTACAAGTGTTCACGGGGCATGTTTCCTAATGAATAGATTAGGATAAACAGCTATTTAGCGATCGCGTTCTTAATTCCCCTCCCCAGTTCACACTCATTGGCTTTAACACAACACACCGAGGCTTTACTAAAGTCTGGGGATTTCACCGAGGCGAGCAGGCCATGCTGGAGCCCGAAAGGGTCCCAGAGGTTAACCAAAAAAAGACTGAGCAGGTCGGACCACACCGGCGGAGGATTTCACCCAGCGCGTATCCACAAGAGACGGGAGGCCTTGTTAAACTGTACGCAGCGTCCTAATTGAGGAGGAGAAATGTGTTGCAGTGCGCAGAGCAGCTCGGTCACTGCATGTCAGTGTGATGTCTGTGAAACGGCCAGAGAGCTGTGGCCCGGAGGATAAAGCCTGCTGTCTTCCCCTGAAAAACACAGTCACATCTGGAGTCCGTATGACCTTGAAGCCACAGACATTCCCATTTATTTTTCTCTTTCTGGAAATAGAGGCTCACTTACACAAAATGACGGTCACTGAGTCAGATTAAATAAGCATGCAGGTTAGGGGCTCTCCAGGGAGGAAAAAAACTCGTACATTGTTATAAATAAAAAAACAAAAGCACTAAATAGATTATTTTAAAATCGCTAAATAAAAAACGAGGTGCCTTTTCAAATACATATGTATTGGAAAGTATTGGTGAGGCGCTTTAAGGCAAATTCTCCCCAAATATATCATCACAAATTAAGTTATTTCTTCTAAAATGTTAAGAATTAACCAATTTTAAGAGCTGTTTATCCAACTTGTTATAGGAAGGGATAAATATCGCTTAAACAATATTTCACTATAAAATAAGGCCTTGTGCATCCTCAATTTACTTTATGTTAGCTCACACAATAAAGTTATTTGTGTTTATTCTACCGTTTATACATTTTATATTTGAAGATATTTCACATTGGCCACACACACACACACACACACACACACACACACACACACACACACACACACACACACACACACAGTGATTTGATGCAGCACTCGGTTTAGGATGCTCCATAAGACTTTATGATGAATATGAATGTGTTCACCTGTATATTAACTTGCTCCTCTCTGCCTGCAGTGGGGATCCCGCGCTATCAGAGCCACTCCTCTGTGTGCGACAGGAAAGATTTTGTGTTAAACTTTAACGGCATCTCCTCCTTCCACCCTTCTGCTGGAGGATCCTATTACCACCATCACCACCACCACCACCCCCAGAGCGTCTGTCAGGACATCAAGCCCTGCGTGATGTAAGCTCTCCTGCAAGAGGACTTTTTTTTTCCATTTGTTCTTATTTTTTGGACATACGGAGGATGTATCGTGCATGGCGTCCGCACTCACACTTTGCGTGCAGCCAAAGTAGCTTTCTTGGTTGGACTTGAGAAAACTATGCAATTGAAGGAAATGAATGAAGAAACCCACAGTGGCCTTTAAAAATAAAAAAAATAAAATGATAAACCACTCTGCCAATATGAACCCTGACAAGCGCTTTCTTCTTCAAAAGAAGCTTCAGAAACTTTTTTAATGTGTTTGCTCTTGTACCACGTGCAAACTTTATATTCTATGTAACTATGTTCTATTAGAGTACACACACGACGCTTTAGGCTAACATTAACTGCAAACAAGCCTTGCACTTATTGTATAACCCTTTGCCAACTTTCTGTCCTGTAAAAGGTTTCAATAAAGCTGATATATTTTAGGCTACATTGTCTTTCCATGAACATTCATGTAGAGGAGGTGTTTATACTTTGCATTAAGGGAACTTATAATTGAGCTTGCATAAGGCACAAACTTTTAATTCCATATTACATATTGCTTTCTCGCTGTATATTTGCACTTCAACAGAGTATGTCCATGTTCTGCTGCTGTATGCAGTTTATTTGTGAAGATAATTTGGATAATAATGTTTCAAATCTGAGATCATTTATAATATTTTAAGCATGACAAAAGCAAAATAGTAGAGCAGCTATCATTAAATCATAATACTATCAAAAATAGCAGGGAATTCTGCATAAAAGAGTACTTTATTGCTGTGAATACTTATGTACTTAAATAACGATAATGCAGGCCTTTATTTATATTTACAAGTTATGCAGTATTTTATATTATGGTATTAGAATTTTAACTAACTTAATTATCAGATTAGTTATCACACCTCTCAGGTTTTGAATTAGTATTATCCGTTAAAATTACTAACATTTAAAAACAAGGTCCCCAAAGCATGTTAAAATAATGTGCAACATTGCACATATTACTGCCTTAGAAATTGCTATTTTGAAGCTTATTTTTCAGTAAAAATAAGCTTTTATCACTAGATTGATAATGTACATATTCAGAATTATTTAAAATGTACATATCTCTTATTCCTACAGTTCCTATTTTGGTGTGCAACTGACGATAATGGGGATGTGCAAGCGGCAGAAGAAGTATTCAGATTCAGATTGTTTATATATGTAACTCAAAATACCAGTATATTCAATAAGTTTGATCCATCTTTACTGTATCTGCATTCCAAATAAAAGACCCACATTTAAAATCAATCGTAAGTATTTAAAGCAAATTGTATTTATAAGATTAACAGTTAAACTACAGAGAATTGCTTACTCATTTATTAACGGATTTTCAAGGTTTTATATGGTCAAAGTGGATTTAATGTATATCCTGTTGGGTAATTTAATCTAGAACTATGAATATCAACTATCACTTTCCACCACTGTTGATAAGAAGACATTAAAACACATAGCACAAAGCAATATCTGTCTTTTATACTGATGCAACACAAACATTTCCCAAATTGGGATCAATAAAGTACATCTTATCATATATTTTCATATAAAAGGCTAAGCAACCCTGAGGCTGATCATCATAAAAACTTATGTAGATTGATTATATAAAGTGTGTGGCTCAAAGATAAACGTGCTTTAAAAGCTACATTTCCATCTAAAAGAGGGACACCCCTTCTTATAAAATGTGATTATTCTTAGATTGAATATGTGGGACATATTGCATGTTTGACAGTCCCCTCCAGCCTGTGTAAAACAGCTGAGAGTTGTTGCATCCTGAGGTCGCTCCTTCCTATGTGGACATCCAGGGCTGCAAAAATCTGAAGACGCCATATAAACAAATGGAACGACAGCACCCGCGTCTCTGGAAATGCAACAATTTTTAGAGAGAGCTGCCTCGTCACACAAACACAGAGCAGACTGGGGCGGCTGCTGCTTTTTCTCTTGGTACATGGCTTTGGTCAGGCCTTAAATGCAACATTTCTCATGACTCACATATTCAGATGGAGGATTTGCAGGGGTAGCTCCTTATGAAATAATCTGGCATAATCAAAGTTTTAAAAAAAATGCTCTGTGAAGTCACTATTTGTGTCTTTAATGCAAGAGAGATTGTTTTAATGTTTAATATCTTTAACTTCAGTGTTATTTGTTTGTGTTAAAGTGCACTATGGGTTTCAAAACCTTTGTTTAGGGCACAGTACTTTCTAAATACCATAGCCTAAAAGCAAAGGAATGAGATACAACTATGGTATTACAATTGAAAACCAAAGGAGAAATCCATGCTTCCAGAAGATATTTTTCACATTTAAACTGCCTAAAAATCCAAATAGGCCTACATCAATTCACATGTGTATAAATGATTATGTTTTCTTGTTGTATGAGGCAAAAAAAAAAAGTAAGATCTGGCAGCAAATAATACAGCAGATTTTGTAAGGAATCTCCCGATTCAGAATCAGTATCAGAACTGCATTGACTGACTGAATCCTGTTGGTTTTAATGAAGTGGCCTCCCTCTGGTTTATTTAGGCTCCAAAAAACGTGATATTGTTGACGTAGAGACAGCATCAGCAGCCACCTATCAAAAAATAAAACGTAGGCTATTTGACTGTACAACTAAATTAATTTTTTTAATTTCCACAAAGCAACCCTCCATAGTGAAAAGTCACACAGCCCAGCAGCTGCTAGATTTTCCATGACAAGTTTTTTGATGAGGGTTGAACTTTCAATATGGTGGAGTATACTGCCATCAAGTGGTTGAGACCACTGCACAGAGATCATTTCTGCAGTAGGGAGATGTTATGATATTATACATATTTACATGTCTACTGTATAGCAGCTAATACATGTTTTAAATAAAAAATGATGAGGCCCATTTTACATAAACAGTTCTCTGAGGATAAAATAAATGTGTAAAAGTTACTCTCTTACAATAATAGTTCATATTTGACTTCTGTCTCAGCTAATAATGAACTTCACCTGCCTCATCCTACTCAATTCAAGACGTAGGCTATGTTGTAGACGACTTGAGATCGTGAGCGAATGCTACCCGCAGATCCATTCTCACAGCGTTTATCAACCTTTTTCTTACTCAATATCAAGCCACACTTATTGTTTTTACTTCTTTATTTTAATTGAATAATGTAGGACTTTTGTTGCCGTCAGTTATGGGGAGAATAGGGGCTCAGAATACTGACATCTGTATCTGTATTAATGGCCAGGCAACGCAATAATTTACAAACTCTTCAACTACAACCCTAATTATATTTAAAAACATTTTAGAAGGCCTCACGAAATACTTTAATGTAAATGTGAAGGGTTGAGTGTAATGTGGTGATTGACATTCACCCACGGATCTATGGGTTGGGGTATTGTTCCGCACGGACATTTTAGTTAACCGGACTTCCTGTTGATGTGAAATACGAAAACATTTTTATCGAGCCCTGATGAGAAGACTTCTAGATAAACATGAGGAACTGCCGCCGAAACTGAATATGTGACGTGGATCATAAATATATCAGCAATTAAACAACATCTTCAATTTCTCTTCACAATATAAGTCTCCTTGCAGTATCAATACTAATTCGGCTGACTTTTATATTTAATCCAATCGGTATATTAGTATATTTACACCATAACGGTGCACAGCTGATAGAAAGGGACACCTGGTGGTTAAAACACGTTATTGAAATGTATTATTTTTATTATTAGATATTAATAGGAGACACGGACAGACAAACTAATAAGGCTTTATTTAAACATTAAAGAATACTTTAGGTTAAGGTCTTATTTTCAATAAGAAAAAAGCTTTGGGGGAATAAATATTAAGCCTGACAAAGTATACTTTAGCAATATATTAGTATACTAATATATTACTGTATTTGGATTTTATTTACATGTATATGAAACGGAATACATTTGTGTGTGCATTGAAAAACACAAGTGTGGATCCGGAAATACAAGTGTGAATCCTTTTGCGGATCATGAAATACAAGTGTGAATCCTTCTGTGCACATGTGTGTATTATGAGACTGTTCTGAGCCCATACATGAAAGGCGCTATATAAATCCAAGTATCCAATTATTATTAATACATCATTGGAACGGTAAGAATCTCAGCTACAACACTGACTAAAGCATTTCCATCTCCAGTATGCCTACAAGTATTTTTATAATATACAGTAAACATATCTTTGACTTATTGCAAAATTATAAAATAAAATTCACCCCTGCTGTCATTCTGGCTTTTACTGTTCAAATGAGATGTCAACCATCAAAATGGGATAAGGGGTTCTCAAAACTGATCTGCCATGTACGGTCTCTCAGCCACCGTAGTGTCGTATCAGGTGGGCGTGTCGTGTAGGGGGCGTGTAGTGTTGTGTCCGCGGCCGCAGCTAGACCATGGATGTATAATAAGAACTGGATACAGCGTGGGAGGCGGGGCCTCATTCATTCCTATGAGAGCTGCTCATTAGCGCATGATGATAAAATGGCCCAACTTTTGAGAGAGCGAAACGTCACAGATTACCCAGCATGCCTGAGAAGTACCCGTATGTGCACTCATAGAGCATGCGCAACTTTAACCAAAATGCTCGTTCACATCAAGCACGTCAATTTGCGTACACGTAACAGCACCGTGCGTTCATGACAGCATGGTAATGAAGGCCCAATCCCAAACCACTCCCTCGACCCTCCCCCTCAGTGACGGAGTGAACTCCGTCTGTAGGCACACTCACAGCTGAATGAAGTTCCCTCCATTAAGGGTTAAGGGTAAAAATACAGCGGCAAGCTTTGGGACGGCCTCCCCTCTCTTCGCAGGAAACGGAAACGGACGTCATGGTGTCCAACTCACATCTCCATCTGTCGGCTGCATTGACCTGCGTTGCTATCCGTCGCCTGTTAGCGGGTGCAATGGCAAGATCCAACAGAAGGCGCAGAAGGTTGAGGCGCATTTTTAGCGATGTGCCAGTGGCAGGTAAACATTTCAATATTGCTAATACAACAATTATCTTCACTTTATTTCTTATATAGTAGCCTATGAACTTTGTATGTGTAATACAAATAGATATTTAGATATATTGTGATATACATTCATTTATTCTTTCCTTATAAGCTATACGTGTATATCTGTATAGTGTATGTAGAATTCCAACACAGAGAAATGTTGTCAGTAGTTTATAGAATAAAAAAGGAAAGGTTAATTTGACTTGGTCTCAGAATTGTGTGTGTGTGTGTGTGTGTGTGTTCAAAGCACTGGAGGTCAGTCCAAGCTTTGCCCCTGACATCATTGCATGTTGTGCATTTCTGTGCATAGACATGAACGATGTCCTTGAGGATGCTGAAGCCTTCCCCCCTGAAGATGGGGACCAGAGTCCTCCCCCTGCCGCAGCATGTGGACAGGAGAGTCCTGGACACCACCTAAGGAACAGGATTGCTGCACAACTCTCTGCTCCTGTCCAAATGGCACCACACCAGAGAGCACGATTACATCGAATGAACTTTGTTTTTTTTTTGGGAAAACACGTGGTTGTCTGTTAACTTGTGTTTTTGAAATGATGTGCACACATACCTGATTAATTTTGTTTGTTTTAGTGAGCTCCACTTCTCACTTTAGAGAAAAGAGGTGAAATAAAATAAACCTGTGCACCGTTGATTTCATATTTGGTTTTCCTGAATTGTCTTTCTGCATAATCCCAAATTGGAGACAAATGTCCTTACCTCTTGGATCATTCAATCACGAGCACAGAGCAAAGGTTCAGAAAATGAACACAGGTCTTCTAATACAATCACTTTTGTTTTTGAGTGAAACTCTGCAAATGGTTTGACATGAGCAATTAAGACCGTAAATGTAATGTATATTTTAATGCCTTATACCAATGAAGCGCACAGACATATCTTTATTTAAAATGCTGATATTCAGGGTTAATCTTCAGACTTTGGAAAAAACACTTTAGTTCCGTGCACA